AGGCACCGAGTCCGGGGCTGGAGCTACAAGTGCCAACTTTCCAATGGGCCGGGGTGTGCTCACTACTCTGCCCCAGGCCCTGGCCCCCCACTCCACCCCTTCCCACCCCCTGCCCTGAGCCTGCCATACCCTTGCTCCCCCCTTTTCCCCCCAAAGCCTCCTGCATGCCACGAAACAGCTGATCAGGAGGTGCGGGGAGGGAGGGGGAGGCGCTGATCGGTGGGGCTGCCAGTGGGCGGGAGTCACTGGGAGCGGGGGGGAGCTGATGGGGGGGCTGCTGACGTATTACTGTGTCTCTTTGGCAACGTACATTGGTAAATTCTGGCTCCTTCTCAGGCTCAGGTTGGCCACCCTTGCCTTAGTTCATCTGTAAAATGGGTATAATGATGCCTATCCACTCCCTGGGATTTGAGGACATTTCATTAATGTGGGAGAAGTACTCTGAGATCCTTGATGAATGGTGTAATGTAAATAGAGAGAATTATTATAATTACAGCATAAATACCAGATCTTGAGCTAGTATCAATTGATGCAGCTCTATTGACTTTCATGGAGCTATGCCATTTTGTACCATCTGATGACCTGGCCCTCCGAGTTTAATAAATCATGAAGAAGAGACGGGGGAAGGGAAATTATGCTCACTGGGCTGCAATGGCATCAATGAAAACCCTGTGCTCTTGGGTTCGAATAGAACATGTGGCTAATTTCCCCAGTATTTTTTTTTTTTTTAAGACCAAAATGAAAGAAACATCCAGAATTGTAAAATGCTTCTGGCGACTAATGTAAATTTGCACTGGAAATTTTGGTCTGTTCTAGCAAAAAGCACAGAAAAAGAAAACCACATTATTCTCACAGAGATTCTTTTATCACACATCAAAATCTACCAGGAGTTCAGCTAGACTGCTACGCTAATTGACTTTGAAGTATTCGTTTTTCCAGAGCAAAACTCAGCATTAGCTGGAAAGAATGCTATCAATTTACCATTCCATTTTGTCAGGATTCCTCTAAAGAAGCTGGTTGGCGAACCCTGGAGGAGGTTTTAAAAGGTCAGTATTCACCTACCAGTGCCTGACACTACTTTCACATTTCCTTCTCCAGCCGCCATGGATCTGGTATCGGAGACTGTGGAAGAATGAAGGAAAGCTATGTAAGATGTTAATATAGCTAGACATGAGCAGGTGTTTGTGGAGCAGGTTTCTTCTTGAAAGCTGCAGTCAAACCATAAAAAAGGAAAGTTCAAATTTTAATTGTTTAATATTAGCCTGTGGAATGCCTCTTTTAGGTCTTCTACTGAAAAAGATCCATTTAAACTCTTGATTTCATTACCATAAGAACATAACGGCCATACTGGGTCAGACCAATGGTCCATCTAGCCCAATATCCTGTCTTCTGACAGTGACCGTTGCCAGATGCTTCAGAGGGAATGAACAAAACGGGACAATTTATTGGGAATAGAAAGGAATGGAAAACACAGCAAACTCTTTGATGAAATGTTATACTGAATATTTTTTTGACATTTTAATTTTAATTTTGAAGTTTTCTGAGCAGGTCAGTTTGGGGATTTTTTTCTCCCTAACTAGCAGTCTTAGTAAGGAGAATATAACCCAGAAGTTTGGTCTGCAGAAGGTGACCATGGAAGCAATGGGTTCTGATAGCAAAACCGAACTGTTTAATATTTCTTTGGTACTTGTCTTCAAAGTTAAGCATGTGCTTACATGTTTTTCTGAATCGGGGCCTAAATGAAACCCAGGTCTAATCCAGTCCAAGAACTCTCAACAGCTATCAAAGTATTCATGCCATTCCTAGCACCCGGGTCTACCAATACAAACTAGCTTCTTCCCATGGCCAATCCAAACACTAGCAGTGCCCTCCACCCCAAATACATCCAAACTTCATACATCAAACTCTCTCAGACCAGTGCCTGGATATCCTGCCTTAATCCAGCCAAGTTAGTGTGTGTACACAAAGATGTTGACAAATACGGGTATCTGCAATGTACATCTCATCTTATCCCTTGAAAGCTTACTACGAGGAGTATTTTTCAGAGGAAAGGAAAGGAACCCTTGCTTCATTCTTCCTCACTCATACCTCTCTCATAGGTTGCATGATGCAAAAGACTTGTAAAATCTTCATTAATCAGTACAGGTTCTGGGAGATTTATCGATCGGAACGGACTGCCTTGTAGAGGAGTAGGCACCGTTTGTGACCCGTGTTCATCCTTTTGTGTTCTTCTATGAAAATAAAGAGAGGCAACTGGAAAGCACAATACCACAGAGCAAACTTTCAGCTTAAACTGTCATCATGGCAAACTTCAATACAAATACGAGCACTCGTACAAACCCAGGACAACTGAGGAGGCACTCCGGGCCCAGCACCTGGGCTTGCCTGAGGAAGTTGCATTGGATAGAGTTCACTAACATGACTCTGGGAGCACCTTCTCCTGGCTGCAGGACAGTGTCATGCCAGATATGTTCTCCGATATTTAGCCAAGTAACTAAGGGCTGGGTGCACAAAAGGAGTTTGGTGTTGGGATGTGTCCAACACCTAGAAAATCCCTGATATTCACAAAGGGGATGTTATTCGTGTGGCCTGGAAAACGAGCCCCCCTGGGTGTCCCACACAGTGCATCTAGGCGCAAGTGGGCTTTGGGGCACACATAATTCACATCAGAAATTGCAGCTGTAATGGCATGAGCCAGGGGAGTAGCTAACACCAGCTGCTTTGTGTTGCCTTATCAGAGCAGCGGTTTCGCAAAGCGGCAGGCAGTCACGTGGCAGCATTCTGGGGCTTTTGGCATTGCACCAGCAACGTGCACCCAGCTCTCTGGCCGTCTGGCAGCTCAGCCAAGAGGGGAAAGCGGATGATGAATCCAGAGACACTCCCCCACAACAGGATGCACGTGCCATGGGCTCGCTTTGCTGCCGAACAAGTGCAAGGTGTGCAATGGTCCACGCGAGAGACACAAGCTATTCAGAACCCTTGCAAGGAGTTGCAATAGATAAGGAGAATTTCACACAGGAAACGCAGTGTACCTGGCAGGCTACAATCTCCACTGTCTAAGGGTCCAACAGACTTTTCCTATTCTGTCCTACAGAGGTTCTTATACCACGCTCACCACTATAGTATCCGAGCGCCTTCAAGTTGTGCAGTAAGTGATGTGGCTAACATCCGTTAGGATTCTCATCCCTGGATGGGTCTCAGTCTGCTGTTACCAGCAGCACACTGCAGCTTCCGAATGCTGTCAGCAGGAGGGCTAGTAACTAGAACAACAACATGCCCCCAGCAGACAGCACCAGCAGCAAGTTGTCCTAGGTGCTACAGATTCCCCATGGCAGCCAGCTTAGGGAGTGAGGGGACCAGCAAGCATCCCGTTCTGTCAATGTACAGGTCAACTGTCCCCTCAACCACCTCGTCACAGAGATGCTGGCACAGTTCCCACATGCACTGCATGAGTCGTATGTACTTGGATTGCCTTGCCTGGCAGAGGAAGCTGCATGGTGGCATTATACCAGTACACACACTACTATTGTCTGCAATACTCCTAAGGGGCCGTCTTTTGTAATATTGTCCGCGGGATTTTCCAAAGAGGCTAAGTGACTTGGGAGCATAGTTGCCATTGACTTTAGAGGGATTAAGTATCAGGGGGTAGCCGTGTTAGTCTGTATCTACAAAAACAACAAGGAGTCTGGTGGCACCTTAAAGACTAACAGATTTAACTAACTAACTAACTGTTAGTCTTTAAGGTGCCACCAGACTCCTTGTTGTTTTTGTAGATACAGACTAACACGGCT